AGTGGAGCATAAAGTTCATAATTTCTGAATTAATATTTCGGATTGAAATTCGTCCACATAGCAATTACCAATCAAAGCGTTCATAGACTGTTCATTCAAGTGAGCACCTCAAAATTCATTATTAATGCCATCAAACTAGGCAGGAATGTGTTCATTATCGTAATCATCGTTCGAAGTTTGTCATTTCTCGCTATGTGAAGTGTTTTTGTGATGAAGTGTTCTGCGAAACCTTCGAATTTCATGCTACGTCAAAGTTGAGCTAAAAAAAAATAAAATGATGTATCTGAATCGTTGATGATGAATGTCTGATATGTCTGGTGGATTCTTTTACTGCTATTCATCACATACATCCAGAAGAAAAGGGAGGATGGGCCTAAGGAACACGGATAGCTTTCACTCGACAGGTAGGCATAGCAACAAAAAGGGACCGGGTTAATGCTCCCCTTTAGCACTCTTTCTGATAACATTTGCCACTTTTCTGATGTTCCTCTGTTCCTGATAGCTTACTCGTCGAAATATTCGTGCAATCCCTATTGCAGTTGCTGCCTAATGATGTTGATGAACGTTTCTTCATTACGCTAATGCAGTTAATTCATTATTCAAACTCCAAAACATGCAAACGCTTAATAAATGCCGGCTTTCATTGCAAAATAGTGGCGGATTCCTCTAATAAATCAATGTTTTTCGAATAAAATTTGATTGGCTATTTGTTGTTGTCTCTGCGCAGCCACCTTCGACATTATCGAGCCAACCACAAAGCAATCCTAAGATGGACTCGAAGGGTTAGGTGAGTGAATAAATTCTTTTTGACACAATTGTGAGGAAAATACTGTATTTTTGACTTGTCATAAAGAAACGAGCAGTTGGAAGGATAGTAGCACAATGACAAGTCAAAAATACAGTATTTTCCTCACAATTGTGTCAAGAAGAATTTATTCACTCACCTAACCCTTCGAGTCCATCCTAGGATTGTTTTATGGTTGGCTCGATAATGTCGAAGGTGGCTACGCAGAGACAACAACAAATAGCCAATCAAATTTTATTCGAAAAACATTGATTTATTAGAGGAATCCGCCACTATTTTGCAATGAAAGCCGGCATTATTTCATAAATTCGTCTTCTCCACTATATTTTCTTTTTTTTTTTCATAATTTGAATCATAAATAACTCTTTTTGCACGACTTTTATGCAATAATTCAATTCTATAACCCAGCTAATAGCCATTCTTTTCACAAATACACCATTTTCTGACGAGAAGTGGACGAACAAAACTCAGCCACCTTACTGATACTAATTGATAAGTGTCTGTTGTAGAAGTAAGGTGTGGAATATGTTGAAAACACTGCCCATCCGTATTGCTGTTGTTTTCATAAAATTAACTCTAATGACACTATCATAATTCACCACATAACGAGTCCATGATCAGTCGACTATTAAATATCGTAACTCGTTGCATCGTGCATGCATCAATATTGAAAAGTATTCTAATAACATGAAATCAAACAAAAACGATTTATGTCAATTCATTAATCATTGATGACCGTTCGAGCAAACAATAATGTCCTATATGGAAACCGTTCACTTTTATGCTCCTATAAATCAGTTTAGACTCTTATGAATCGTTGTTTTTATCATAAATGAGTGTATTTTTCATTTATAACAGAAAGTAGATTCTTCCCTCATAACTGAAACAAAAACCGATACGCACGATGTTCATCTCGTACATAATTGTCGATTTCAAACTGAGTCTATATTTCTAAGATTGCGAATATGGTTGAGGCGTATAGGAATGCTTTTTGACTAGTGTCAGCATTACTATCACCATTATTAATAGCATCTAACACCAACAAGGTTCATCGAAGACGAAATCCACTACAACGAAGACTCAGTCCATGGAATGGTATTATTGAGATTATTATGCTTACTTATTATGCTTATTATTATGCTAATTTATTATTGTTGTTACTCAGACATCGAGTGGTTGTTTTGTCAATCGCCGTGAGCAATCGGCAGAATGTTTATTTTATTAGAGTTATGATTACTTATTGGATTGATGTTTGGCTACGATTAATTATGCAAAGTATTCATGGCAACTAATTAATGACTCGGTTGTGCTCACTTGGCCTGCTTGCCTAGCCAGCGGGGTGGAGTAAATTGAGGCTAAAACAATGTGCACGGAAAGGCGAGCATTGTGGCCAGCAACGTTAGCCTGGCCAATCCAGGTAATCCAGGTAATGCTTACTTACAGTGACCGTTGCCATTTTCATCAGTGGTATTTTTCCGGACATGATTGAGTATGTGGTAAGCAATGACCAGAAGTGGTCTAACGAAAATTTAACAAGATGAGAGTCGAGATGAGTCGAGAGTAAGACGGAAACAAGGCGGGATGGTGCGTGCAGAATTTCCGATCTCTTAAACGAAACGAGAAATAAACTGAAATTGCTCATAGGATAACGAGACGAAGAAAGGAACGATCAGACGGATTTCAAACGAGAATAAAGAGAAATGATTGCTTTTTCGAACACATTACTTCTAGTGTTTTGTTGAATTTAATTTTCGTACAATACTTCTCATCCAAAATTTTCATTTACCTTTTAATTTCTTGATCGATGCAAGTTTTTCAGTGTTTGTCTATAAATTGATTTTCCTATTAAATTTAGCATTTAATTTCTTCACTTAAATCCCTATGATATTGTATTTAATTTGATATTTAATATGCATTAGTATTTGTTTTTTAATTGCATATTAATATGCATATTAATATGCAATTAGCATTAGTATTAATATGTATTTAATATGAATATGTATTTTAATATGTATTTTAGTATTTAATTTGATACATGCATTCCACAGTTCCCGGGCGAACAATTTATGATAGAATTTTATGTGCGTCGTGTTGCCTTATCTCTGGATATTGTTTTGCTTTTCAATTGCTTTTTGATGTTGTTTTTCCCTTCAGTAGACTTGATGAAAGGTTGTCCATTTCATTGTTGATCTGCCAATAGATTTTCCTATCTAATTTGCATGTCATACTATTTCTTTTCCAGACATTTCGAACTGTGTTCTGAGAGCACTTCCAACCTTCTCCACTTAACTGAACTTCTATTATTCAATGCAAATACGCAAAACTGAGCTTCAGTAAAGGGTATTTCGATATATATTGGGCAACGCTAGAAAGACGAGGCGAGAAGCGATTAGGTGCCTCCTAAACGAGACGTGATTAGATGAGAAACGATCACAATCTCAAGCAATCACGAAAAACTATCATGTTTTGGCATTTGTCGCCTACGCNATCAATGCACGTTGTTTGCATAAACGAGCACTGTTCAGTGCGCAAATTCGATGAGCAGACGACTCGTCTGGAAGTTATCTTCAACAAAGAGGTGTTGAATCAGTTAATGAGGACAAATGCAGTTTGTTGATGTTATTTTGATGAATCTTGTTCACAACTCATATTCGCAAGTGATGATGAACATGAGGACGCATCGACGTGGCTTTATGATTGGCAATATTTGAGGTGTTCATTTACTGACGTTTCAGGTACAAAAAAGGCGAAAGGCATAGATACATTGAAATGATTGAATGTTCGGGATTTTTATCGTTTGGTTTACTTTTTATTATTGTCAGTGGGCAGTCACACTTCAATTATGAAGGTTTATTTTTGCATTGCATTTCATAAAAACTGAATGTAAATTTCGAGTGTTCGAATTAATTGTTAGTTCGTCAAAATTTTCTCATTAACTTCATTAGAGCATCATAGATCAAAGTCTTTTATAATTGGACAATGTCCCCGATGAGTCTCTTAAAAATCACTTCGCTCCCGATTGATTTTATCACGCTGATACATCGACTTTCACCCACTTGAGTCTAGAGTGTAACGAAATCCAATTCTATATAGTAACTGCTTCAATGACAGTTTACAAAGCCAAACACAACGATAAGTATGACTGTGGGCATCAAGATGATGCTGAAAGATTCACATGAGAGTTAAACCAAAAATATTGCACACAGTGGTAGCGTCGAACACCCGACTGGTGGTGTGCTCTAGATACCCGAAAGTTGCTTTTCATAAATACACAAAACTCAATACGATCCAAATTCGCCCGGTTGTCATCCCTTCTGCCGGAATCGCTCATTCGCATACCGTTCTCGCCTATTGATGGGCAATAGCACCCGGGGTTGAAGCAGTTTACTTGCAGTTGAATTCCACTTTGGGTTCAACTCAAACACGTAAATCAAAATTATTCTCATATAGATGCATTCGCACACTATCTCTTCTGTCGGTCCATCTTAATCGTTCGTTCTTTGCAGAGCTTCCTATGAGTGACCTACCGATGGATGCATATTCCGATGTAGAAACTAAACAGTCGGAAGAAATGGCATCGAAGAGAAGTGCACTTCCATTATCCGGAGGTTTTTACGGAAAGCGTTCATCATCACTGGATTGGCGAGACGATATGCTGATGCCGAAAAGAGGTACATAAATTGCTTTCATACAGCAGCGTTATTGCAAGCCCTAAAAAAGTATTTCATGTGCACCACGTGACACATTCACATAAGTTTATGTTCTGCGACGTCTAAATTGACGGTCAATTTCGAATTCATTATAAATCAAATGCGAATTCTTCACAATCGTTTTATTTATTAGATTAAAGCGTTAACTAAATTGTGCACAACTCTGAATTCACACCACACCATTCATTCTCGAATGTATGCATCAATAAATCATACGAGGCTGCAGGAGAAAAAACAGAGTTTTCTCAGTACATAATTCAGTGATTTATTATCGTTCAGAAAGTGAAACGTCAACTAAGCGATAAGATTGCTTGCTATTGGGCAGTAATGATAATTTTGAGGTGGCATCTATGCTTGAATCAAACGAAAACCGATCGTTTGAGGCTGTTGATCGGTCAAAGAGTCATTCTAAATTACATGAATTCATGAACCAATTTTACTAATCATTATGCATTTCATTGTTCCGCTTCATCTAGGCCACAAAACGCTCTCCATTTCGCTCAGAATTATAGAGATTAATTAACCCCCAAGGTATCGTCATTTCTGAGCACTTTCGAGAAAATGTTTTAAAAGTCGCATTTACTACAACTTCAATGAACCAGTTTATCACAATTTTTGAATTATCACGATTTTTTCTCATCAAGCTAATCCGTTTCATCCAATTCTGAGAGCAATCGTTGTGGGAAAAAGTGTGATTTTTCTCTGAACTCAACGTATCAATCAACGACTGATAC